CCACCCCACTTTTATAGACTACAGACTAGTAGGTAAGCAAGGGTAAAAGTCTTCTTTGTGTTAAAGAATGGGTACTGTATAAGCTAGTTTTTTTACTCTATTTGGAATTATTTGAAGTAGGAGAGCAAGTATTTTGTCAAATTGGGTCTGTAAAACTAAGAGATGTTATAGATTGGAGATGGGAAGTAGCTAGAATCCAAAGTGGGTAGATGTGCTTTAAAATTAAGGTATATAAGGAAAAGAGCAGCTAAAGTACTGGGAGGATGGTGAACCTGTTTTTCTAGAGATGAGAAGCCCCAGGCTATTTTGATGAACTAGTGGCCAGCACTGGGTTTGCAATCTGTATAAAGACAGAGGGAAAGTTCTTTGTGCTCAGTATGTGTAGTACAGGGCTACTTATGGGCCATGCATAATGTGAGGTTAGAAACGAGAAGGTTTTTAGTCACGAGAGAGATGCAGCTTTCCACTGAATATCCTATGTGAGTATTTCATCTTTGTCTTCCTACTGACTGTGCTAGATCAACGTACAAAATTATTTGTCAGTTTTGGTTACAAAGGACAAGCTGACCACATGTGATTTTTGTTTTGTTCCCTTTTGCACCGTAACATTTGGTGTTCCTCCTGAAGCTTTTGGCTTAGCCAGGAGTTCTCTAGGCCAGGTGTGTCTGATGAAAGCACACGTGCATTTTGCAGAGCATACTCAAGCTTATTTGACTGGAAAATGTTATTGTTGCCTCCTAGATAGATACGGTCTTTCAAAGCCAACGGTTCATATGTTTTGTAGTTCACACTAAGAGAGAAAAAGAATGGCTGTTTTCTTGAGTTCATGAGATGAATTCATGAAATAGAAACAACGCTGAGTTTTTACACCTGTATATTAAAACAGTTTTAATTAAGCCACAACAGTTGAAAGGAATGTCATATACATTGGTATCACTTCAGTTACATCTAAATTGCACAACGTGCTGCTTATGCTTCCACCCACTATATTCAGAACCAAGTTTATTTTACACTTGTGCTTTTTTTTTTTTTTTTTTTTAATGCTTTTTAAAAAAAACATGCAAAAGGCTGAGATTATGCTAAGCCCTATTGCCATATAATTGTCCTTCTCATTAGGGCGTCCATTTCCTTATGTCATTTCTCCTCAGCTTCAGCTGTGCGAGGACTTTCCAGGCCTGAGATTCTCTTCAGTGTTTTGGATTTACTGGAAAGGTGCTATTATTATTATTTGTAACACAGACATCTATCCAGTATGCCCCTCCTGTGTTTACAGAAAGAGCAGGAGGAGGGGAGGTTGGAGGAAACAAAAAAGACACATTTCTTACAGGTTGTCTTGTTCAGCAGGAATTGCTAGCACCATTGATTCTATGTGCCGTGCATGACTGAGCATTTAACATAGTTCTAAAGCCTGGAGATATTTATGCTCCGTGAAACTACAAAATACAGGCCTGCAGGGGACCTTAAGACATACACACATACAAAATGCAGAGTTATGAAATCAGAAAAGTGTTATGAAGTGGAATATTAAACAAAGTATAATACCAAGACATACAGAGCATAGAAAAAGCTTAGTTCTAAATGCCTTAGTTTTATAGGATGCTGATTAGTACTTCATAAGTTCTATTTTGTATGTGTGTATGAATACATATACCCATACATTCTCTCTGAAGTAATGGGGTCACAATAAGGGGAAAGCAGCCCTGTAACATTGCATTTACCTTCCACCGCACCTACAGCCTTCTCAGAAACATATCTCTGCCCACACAACTGGCAGAGGAACTGCTGCCTTCCCCAGCCTAGGAAAGCCCTGACAGATCTCAATTAATTATGCCATAAGCTGCTGCCAGTCCATGGCAGATGCAGCCATGGCTCTGTCTCACTGGAAAATTTACTTGGAGTCACTGGCTCCAAAAAGACAAGCTGGGAGTGCAGCAGGTTACTCCCCAAAACGTGTCTGTATAAAGTTTTCATACAGATATTGCTCGCAGCCTGCTTTTCTATTTATATCAGTTATCTCTAGCGACTCGCAAAGCATTCCCAGGTTTATAAGTCCCCAGGCCCCTCAGTCAATTTTAGAAACTTCTGGAGGTTTTCAACAGCACATGCTAAGATTTCCTTCCAAGCCATGTCTGATAATTAAAATTGCAGTTTTAAAAGGGCAGGCATAAAGAACAGTATATGTTTCTACTGAAAAGTGTTTTTTAAACAAGAATCTCCCAAATACCACGTAATAATGCACACAGTTTAACATCTGAAGATTTATTTGTTCTCTCTGTGACAATGTATATTTAATTACATATGTCTTTGTAGCATGTCTTGCAGTGACCACAAAAACTCCAGTATGTTAGCCACCATTATACACACTGGCTCCATTTAACTGCAACAGATGGTGGAAAAAATAAGTTTTATTTTCCCCTCAGTTCATACACTTAATAGTCAACAATAGTCCAGTAACAGGAACAAGAAGTGATTCTTAGGCAGCATATGACTGTAAAAGACTCAGCAAAGTTCCTTCCTTTGGACCAATTTTTGGCAGAAGAAAAAGCTTTCTTTGGAAGGATTTTATTTTTTCCTAATTCTATGTAAAGCCATTTTGTCACAGGTGAAAAAAATAAAATAACTTGCAGGTCCCCCCTGTGGGTTGTTTAAAATCTCTCCTCCTTTCCAGCTTGAAAAGCTACATCTTTATTTGTAAGGATATATTTGAATAAAATAAGGATGACTCAGTTGGGAGGGAAAGGAGTAAGTAAACCACCAAAACAGAACTGACATGAGAATATGTAAATAATACTTTAGGTAAAAGTTATTTGCTTACGGATGCCAATGGTTTTTAATTTATTTTTTTTTTAACCAGTTTTTGTAAGAAATATACTGAAGAAATAAGGTAGGGTTTTGAGTTGCTTTTTTTTTTTTTCAGTCTCTCATAATTGCACCAACATTTGCAGCAAAGGTGCTCTTCTATTGCTTTGACAGTTGATTGCTGTTGGATTTAACTTTTCAATTTAAGTATGGTGCTCTATCTGGGGAGGAGTAGTAGTATGTCGGCTTGATGTTTCCCAGGACTTCATCTTCCCAGTTGGGGAGGCAGCAGAAGAAGAAAGCACAACCTATCACAACAACAGTGCTGGCCCAACCGAAACCGTAGGCCCAGCTGAACATATTAGCTCCCATCAGTGGAATTTCTTCTGTGAATTTCACTGGATAGATGACCAGCCCTATGATTTGGAATGCAGCTAAAGAAAGAAAGCAAAGAATGCCAAGAGTAAATGACAGTGAATGCTGTTGTTACGTTCCCCACTAAAAAAAGATATATTGAGATAACTGCATTGCCCCTTCACATACGTAAGGATTAGCTCCAGTCCCATTCTTGCAGCAGTGCATGATTCCTGGTCTGGGCAGGTCCCCAGCTGCCTAGTGGCAGCTGCAGCTGGCACTGCTGCCTCACTGAGGTACTCACGTGTGCCCAGAACAGCCCTATCCCACAGCCAGGTGTCTGTCCTGATGGGGCAGTCACCTCCTGCTTCTATCATACCCACAGCTCCTCCCTCCCTTGGGAAAATGGAAGGCCTGGTGCTGCCGGCTTCGAAGCCTTAATATGTGACTTGCAGGGTCAAATTTGTTGGTTGCCCCCATGCACTGTTTTTGGGAATTCGTTGATTACACTCAGGGCACAGGTTAAATATCTCATTTTCCATGAAAATGAGTCATAAACCAAAGACAGATTATTTCACGAGAAAGGCTCCATCTAGCATGTTTTTCTCCTCATGCCTGTTTTACATCTAATACAACCTTATCTTTGCACCCAGCCTTACCAACAACAAATAGCAAGCCTCCAATTCCTCTCACAAAGTTGAAGCGCAGTATTTCAATTGAGAATGCGATGACTGCGAGGGCGAAACAGATGACCAGGATCACAAAGCCAACGAGGTATGTAGCAGCTGCTGCTCTCCCCCATCCTTGAAAAGAAAAGAAGAAAGGTGTCACAGGCAGCAGTGCACTCAGCTGTAGGTCACTGCAGGTCTTCTGTTCCTTTTAGTCATTCTTTGTTGAAATGCTTTACTGTAAAATGCATACTTTATGCCAAAGCAACATTGAATGTCTCCAAAGTGCACAGCTGCAGAGAGACATGATCATCAGAGAAGCAGCATTGAACACTCTGCCTGCTAATTTGTCCTGCTGAAAAGAGAGACATAGCATAGCGTGGTAGTGGCAATAACACCTCCAAACTCAGTATGTGTGGGAGATCTATAGATCTCTGAGCAGAAAGAGCACACAACCTGTCAGAATGTGCTTTATCATCATCACTCCATTTTGACATGCAAATTTAGAAAACCACTTCCATGCACAGGAAAGTATGAGAGCAACAGTACAACAGTAGAGAGAATTGCTGGGAAATAATAATGTTGTCACCATACAGCTTCCTGTCTGCTTGCTTACGACAAGAACACTGTATGTGAATTAACATTAGCATGACCAAAAACAGACGTGGAGTAGTCGAGCTGAGACACGACAACAAGGAGAATGCTCTTGAAGATAAATATCTATTCACAGCCAAAACGACTTAGTAATAGGTAAAATATCATGGGTGGAGAGGTAGTGGAGTCAGAGGTAAAGTGAAAGAGTCCTCTGAATCATTACTTTGAGATTTGGTGGGGCTGAGCACTGCACAGAGTCCTTGGGAAACAGCCAGAGATTTAAATTTCGCAGTGATGCAGGCTTGTGAAAGGTTCCCACTGTGGCAGAGCTCATTTTCTTTAAAAATGTGCCAGGAGTTTGAGTGTGAATGCCAAAATACACAGGTGTTTCCTGCCCTAGAGGCAGGACACCTGCCCACAGGGGTAACCACATCCACCTCAGCCCTTGGGTTCCACTGAGCTGTCACCACAGCTCCCTTTCCAAGTCCACATAACATAGGTTCTGACTTCCACACATTCAGACATAGGTAGGGCCAGATCCTGAAATCCCTTTAACATAGGAATAAAGGGAACAGTGAGATTTAGGCCAGAGTATTTTACAAAAAAATCTCCCTTTCATCAGAGTTGTCTGTTCCGGTATGTCTGAAATGGTTCTGGAGAAACATTGTTTTTCACATAACCTCTGTAATTTAAGTCATTTCCCTGTAAAATATTAAATAAAAAAAAAAAAGAGAGAACTTTTTCCTGAAGAGCTGAAGTCCTTCGCCTCAACCCAATCCAATTAGCCCACTTGATCCGCTGTTACATAAAAAAAAATAGTCATTTAAGGCAGAGAATACAGTAAAACTATCACAGATACCTCTATTCCATACAGCAATTTCCTATTTGAAAGCAAAGCATTATTTTACAGCTGTTCTCATGAGACCAGTCTAATTTTTTTCTCTTGCCCCCCCCCATTCAAAAATCAGAAGTGAAACACAGCCGCTCCCTACCAGAGAGTTTTCAGCCTCAAGCCCTCAGCCGCCACCTCCTCCTGAATGAAGTCAAGCTGGAATGGAAAGGGTAAACAAAAGGCTTTTCTTGGAGCTACTTAAGACAGTAAAATCTTTTCAAACCAGTTCTTGCCAGCCTCCTGCAGCCAGTCCTGCGTGTTTTGTCTCGGTTCCCCAGGAGAGTGCTGCAGGGGGAGGAGGGAGGACACCCCACTGGCCTTTAGAGATGACAGTGGTGTCAGTGGTCCTGTAACAGCTTTTCCTTCAAAATATTATCTGGCATGCCTAATGCAGGTACTGGGTATCATCTTCACAAAGGATTTATTTAGGGATAAGGAATGTAAAGGAATATTTAGCCACTACACACAGCCAGCTCAGGAAAAGTAATTCAAACTAAAACTAGGAATGCTATTTATTGATATCTCCTCTAATAGGAGAAAAACAGTAACAAGGGCAACCAGGAATTCTTAGTTATCAAAGTGCTTTCCCCTACAGATGCACTGTGTATGCTGGCACAGTGCAGAGAGCCAGGCTTGGCATCTGTCTCATGCAGGTTCGATTGCAAACCCAAAACTGCCAGCAAGTTGGATGCCTTCATATTTGCTGCAGCACAAACAAGACTGCAAGAGATACAGGCTGCAAAGCCTCTGGTGCTATCTCTGCTCTTTCCAGGCTCTGTGTGCTTAGTTTACAAGTATAACAAGCTTTGGGATACATCAGCCCTGGCCTCACTCACAGTGACTTATTTGCTTGTCTCTGGCAGTATGAAAGTGATAACCCACATAGCTACAGGAGATATCAGGAACATTATTCTCAAACCCAGCTTTTTTCAGATCTTCAGGAACAGAGCAGCAGCGAGTACCATCATTGGAACATGTACAGTAGTTTTTGTGCTCACATGCAACAAAATTCAGTGCTGGCAAACACATACCTTTCCCCCTCCCAATGGGTTATCTGCTCCTGCAGCACTTATCAGCACTGATAATACTGATAAGATGAGCCTTTGGTGCTGGGCCCCGTGACGGACTGATCTGCTCAGGGCACGACAAGATAACAGCTGCAGAACAGCCAGCCCACCACATTAGCATTGAAGGGAATTCCAGGAAGAGCAGGAACATGTGGCTATATACAGTGGAAGGGAAATCTCAAAAACGTTAACCCCATCATCCCCATGCCGGTTAAGATAGGCTTTCTGGCTCTGCGTCCTCCAAAAAGCTGCTGAGCCTCTGCTTCAGTTCTTCACCTGTGGCACCCAACTTCCAGGGGCAGAGGTAGGTATTGTGTCTCTGCCTTAATTGTGGGAGAGATCTGCTGACAGTCTGAGAAGGTCAGATCAGCCTCAACATTTGGATGGCTTGTGCTCAGAGAACTTTGTAACCACAAGAGAGATAGCCAGAATTTATATATGCCATAGAAATAAAAAAATCTCTGGTTCCTTTATTTAATACAATTTCTAACTCAAAACAGGTATAAATATGACATCTGTCTATGAAATCAAACAACAATACAAACAAAGTAATTTGGGGCTGTATAAATAGAGAGTCAGAAGAATGGGAGATCAGTAATGCAAGCAGTTTGAGGTATTTCTGTTACCCAGGTAACTACTCAAAGAAGAGTTCTTTGCATCCAAGCAGCAGTGAAGTATTTAAAGAACTTTTTTTTTTTGGGGGGGGGGGAGGGAGGGGGTTGGGAAGAAGAAAAAAAGCCTATACGAGAGCTATAGTTGATGGAAAAGATTAAGAGTTTTATTATACAGCTTAATTAATAATGACTATGCAAAAGAACTAAGCTGCAAATGTTAGCATGCAAATAACTAGGATGGTTCAGGACTACTTGAAGTTAATGGTGAGCATCATTAATAGGATGAAATTAAAAAGAAAACATAATGACATACAAACACGGTAGTCTCAGTTTTAGCTGTACTTCCTGATTTTATTTGGCTCAGCGTCAGTTGGGAAGAAATGGGAGCTCTACAGGACATTTACATTGAGATTTCCCTGCAGAAATGAATAAAAGGACCGAGAAAATAGTCTAGCAGGAAGACAAAGCACTGCAGGATATGAAGTAACAAACCCTTCTCATCTTGGTTCACTTATTTACCAAATTGGAAGCTGGTTTATCAGCTTGTGGATAACTGGAATCTTCAGGTAGAAGTTTTTACTATGACATGCTTAGTTGAGACAGAGTTTTACACTTTAGTTGTAACAGTTTTCTGTATATAAATGACAGCGGCAATTTTTCTTTGGTGTTGAAAGCTCATAACATGGGAAGTCCAGAAAATATGTCTTTGTTGACAAAACAAAGGAGTAGCGGACTGCCAGCAAGAGAGCACTGCCAGCAATATTTTCTTGCTTTCACAACATTCAAATTTCCATGACACCATAACCAGTGAGGGAGAAGTATGTGCACGCCCATCACAAGCCCAGGGCAGCCCAGAACTGAGGGACTGTCTGAAGAGCCTGCTAGGAATTAACACTAGGTATCCCAGCTCTCCCTTGGTTTTAGCAGTCTGGAAATACCAATTGCTATACTACCAAAATGCTAAATGAAAATCTGGTTGCAGCCCTTTGCAAGTCAGGAGAGGCAAAATCCTGTTTGTTTCCAGCCTTCATTGCCTTGCTGCTGCTTGCAGTAAAGGTGTGCCTGCTTGCTGGCAGGAGACAAGCCTGTCCTGCTGCTGGGGAGTTTCAAGACACGTCTGCTGGGTGTAGCTAGCCATGCCGACTGCTGCTTCTCTATTAGTGTCCTCTGAGTGCCTTCACCCTGCTCATTTATTTGCTAGGACACATCCTGCCACCATAAATCAGACTAAGCTATGCTTGAACAGAGGCGAGGGCATGGTGAATGTACCTGTAATGTTCCTCCTTTATTTACCCAGCCCCTTGGTGAAGGCGGCACATACACACAGTTCCACTAACGGCCTGTGGTATCGAAGTCCAGTTCTTTGAGCCATGGGCACAGTGGCACAGCAGCAAAGAAACATGATTCATAGAGGCAGAGTCCCACCTCTTTTTTTTTTTTTTTTTTTTTCCCGGCACTTATTGAGGATGCAGATGAATGCCTCCATTTTTCTAAGTCAGCTATTGTGTACTTAATGAATACCAACCAGCTGTTAGGAACGTAAGAAGGAGTTAACCACTTTTACTGCACATGTACACACCCATCCCTCACTGTGAGGACTCAAACCAAAGTCACTGGGAGCAGATGTTGAGGTCTTGGAAGATGCTGTCGCCCACTAACACTGTCCGTAAACATATAGGGTCATCACTGTTTAGACAAAGGTAGTCGCCCTCCCCTTCAACCATGCTGCAAACAATCTTCCTCATATCTGATGGCTTACTGATATGTTTCAAACACAGTCACCAGTTTTATACTGCACTGGGCCAAACAAAGTCATTTTGAGTCATACATTATGAAGTATGGCAGCTCTGTGTTGCAACATGTTAATAAATACACAGATACTGCCAGGCAGGTACTTGCCAGGTGCAAACCAGTAGAGATATCAAATCAAAATCCATTCTTTACCTCCCTACTGAAGGATATTCTACTCTTATTTTTCCCTTTTTATTTTTTCTATCTTATGGGGACTGTAAAATGTTCACTAAGAAGCAATTCAGTGTAGGAGACATTCTTATTTGCAAAACTTTGTTAGTCTGTTCCTGCCCCTCTTTCCTATTTAAAGTAAGTGATCAAACTGCTTTTTCTCTCCCTCTCCCAGCATATATGCCACAGCTCAATTAAGAAGATGTCTAATGCGGCTTTCTACTAATGGGGACCACTCTGAAATTTTGTTTTCATCTGGAGGAACAAGATGGTTAGTCTGGAGTAGTTATCATATGCAAAACACAAGTTGTGCACCTCAATTAATTTACTTTCCTGCAGCAGTGCTGTGAAGGCCTGCTAGGCATTCCTTCCTTTGCAAATGCCCTCACCTACTTGGAGTCTAATTGCATTAGCATAGAAAAATGGAAACAAATCAAACCCAAACTCATATTTTACATCCTGTCTCTGGATGCAAATAGACATTAAGCAGACAGTGGCCCTGATTTCCTCAAAGCGAGAGAAGAGGCAAAGCCAAGTTAATCAGTCTAAGCCAAGGATTTGAATGAGCCTTGTTTAAGGTTAAATAAGCAGTCAGGGATACCATTCTCCTTTGACAGAACAGTTGAAAACTTCATAAAGTCACTCTTGCCCTAGAAGACACAAGGCTGAAACAAGGCACACACCCTTCATCACTCATAGATGAGAGGCAGGGACACTGCAGGAGAAAGCAGACCTCAGCAGCTCTACTGCGCAGACACTTCAAGCAAAGCAGATTTTACCCACTCTCCTGTGCTAGTATTTTGGCTCTGGGTAGTGGGACAACGAGATTTCTGCCACTTAGAGTAAGGCCTACAGCAACCACCAGGCTGGTAAATGATAGCAATGCTTTTGCTAAACATTCCAGATTTCACTGAGTTGCAATGGCAAGCACAGTGCTGGGAGGAAGCCTCCCTGCTGCCCATGTACAGGCTGGAACCGTCCCTTCCAGCTTCCAGATGCGGTCCCCAAAGTACCCTCATCCAGGACTATAGGGCGTGTCTGTTTGTCCCGAAACAATCTGTCTGTGAGAAAAGCAGATGCAAAACAGACCACAGCTAGAAAAGAAGATAAAAACAGAATGTCCCCGAGAAAGACAAACTGGGACTATGTGGTAAGAATATTACACTAGTAATGCCAGATATAAAGAAGTGAAGTAAGATAAAGCCAAGGCACAGTTACTCCCTGATTTATGACTTAGTGCAATAGGGAGATATATACAGGAAGCTGCATGTTTTCCATTTGCAAATCCAAGCTGCAGGTCGGGAGGCATTCTTTAGCCAGGCAGGGTTAAGGGTCCCCTTCCCCTAGCAAGGGGGCAGCTTTGCTGTTGCCCAGGTGCAGGGAAGCCCAGTGCAAACTCTCCTGCAGTGGGTCAGCGAGGGAGCTGCGTGCTGTAGGGTGAGGCTGCCTGCTCTGCAACACACAGAGAACTGCTGAAAGCAGACTTGTGGCCAATTGGCTCTCTTACTTCAGTTATAAAAGAAAATAAAAAGCAAGCCTTGTTCCTTACTCCTGATAGGAAAGATGCCTAAAGCAGTCTGAGGTCCTGTCTCTTTGTTCATTTAGGCCCTGAAATAGCACCGGTTCTGTCTTGGAAAACCCCATCCCAGGCAGCAGCTACACCACCACAGAAGGGCTGACAGCCTTCGCTTTGCCAGTGCGTGCTGGACAAAAGTTTCCAGCCTTATCTCCCCTGAGCTGCAGCCACCAGAGGACAGGGTCCCGGAGGGACAGGCGGGCTCCCCGCTTACCATAGTCCATGAGAGATTCACAGTTCCAGTTGAGGTCCTGCTCGCCCCGCGTGCAGCTCTCCCACAGCGACGCTTGGTGCACGTAGGGCTCCGACTCAGACTCCAGCCAGCCCCGGCCTGCCAGTGCGATGATACCCATGATGATGGCCAGGCCCAGCAGCAGGGGCAGGAGCCAACGGCACCGCCAGCAAGCGAGGCTGCACGCCACCATCCCGCCGGGCTGTTGGGGCACCTGTGAGCCCGAGCTGCTCGGGGAGGGAAGGGTGGGTGCCGCAAGGACGCTCCTCCAAGCAGAGTGTGGCTGGCTGGCTGTCGGAACTGAGCTTTAAAGCACGCTGGGAGGAGGGAGTCCCACCCACATTCCTGGGAGTGAGCGTGGCAGCGGCAACCTGTGGGGCTGGCGGAATGGAGAGTGCGGGGCTGGGTCCTGCTCCTCACCCTGACCCTACTCCATCTGTGCCAAGTAAATGTCCAGTTATGTTCCTGTCCCACACTTTAACTCCTTACTAGCTGCTATCTTCCTGCGTCAAACTCCACTTATTGGTCATGGTCGTGGTGTAGCCCTGTGCCCTTGTTCGTGTCAGCTCTGTCACAGGGAAAAAGCCACAATAGCCATGAAAGCCCCAAACCGCCTGGATGGACACCTCTAACATCAGGGTGTATCACCATGCCTAATCCAAACGTTTCTGTCCTAAAACATGCAGTGCTGTGTGTTGGCTAGGGGCATCCTCACAACTCTGCCTGTCAGGTCTTCAGTACACATGAGCCTTCTTTTAACTTTCGTTTGGTTACATGACTCTGCATGATACCCCTACATCAAACCCACAGATGCTCTCAAGTCTATCTGACTTTCTCCCCACCTTTGCAGATGTTCTGTCAGCAACTGTAGAAAACCACAGCAAAAACTTCTGGCCCTCACTCACTGTGCTTCACAAGCCCTGCCTTTTCTCCTGGTATTTGGCTCATATTTCTCCTCTCCGTTCACCAGATAAAGAAAGATCATCATTGCCTAAACTCAATAACACTAATTATGGCAGCCACTTTAGGCACTAAACACTTATAATATTATATGTTGTTTCATGATTGAAATAGTCAATTCCTTGCCCAATTTTTGGACAATTTTAATGCAAATGAGAAGAAGAAAGAAAGGTGTTATTTGAGGATGGGAATATGACATTATTCACAAGGAAACTGCATCATGGCATGAAGGTTAGCATTAAACAAAAGTGTGGTTTTGAAATGCTTGATGGCTATTGTGCTCTGTCATTCAACCAGGCTGTGCCAGACACAGTACAGGGGTGGTACTCAGGACCTCTATACCCATTCCCCATTCCGTATCTGGAAATGTACCCCAAAGGTGAGCAAAATTAAGGTTTCCCCATTATATGACACGAAGGCTCACCGAATATCACAGTCACAGGAGAAACACTTCTCCACATTAAGATCGGCACACATCCCATTGTGTTATCCCCATGTTATCCCATTGTCTAGCATCAGTGCCTACTCTATTCATATAGGCAGATGTGCTGATCACATGGGATGCATGCATATTGGGCTTATAACGCACACATTTGGTCAAGTTTTAAGAGCAGCTTCAATGTTTCAACAAAGAGGTTAGTAGGGCAGCAAATGTTTGAGGTCTGAAGGGCTGAAAGCAATTACTGGGTAAGGCGAATTACATGGGATTCAAGGAGGATGTGGGGCTAGAAGTTCATACTGGACTGCACCAAATGGGATTTTGTCACAGCCATGTGGAATGTGTTCAAGCTGACTGATGTCATAGAATCACAGAATATTCTGTGTTGGAAGGGACTCATGAGGATCACTGAGTCCAACCCCTGGCTCCGTACAGGACTACCCAACAATGAAACCCTATGTTCAAGAGTGCTGTTTAAATGCTCCTTGAACTCTGACAGATTGGGCCTTTGCCCACTGCCCCGGGCAGCCTGTTCCATGCCCACTGCTCCCTGGTGAAGAACGTTTTCCTAACACTCAGCCTGATTATCCTCTGATGCAGCTCCATTCTGTTCTAGGGAGGAGGTATAGTAAAATTCATTTGAGTGTTGTGATACCAAAAACAGAACTACAAGATGGTATAAAGAAGTTGCAAAAATCTCAGACAAGTTACCTCAAACCAGGTGAAGTTTCACCAGGCCTCTCAGCATTCTCCTCAAAGTTCCCACCAGAAAAATCTATGAAGAAGGTATGTGTATCTGGACATGATGTGTTCTTATGTGCTTGTTTGAGAGAAAAAATGGGATGGTGTGGAGTTTTTGTTCTGTCAGTGACGTTCAAAGTACATTATTTGTATTAAAAAGTAGCTTTAAAAGATTATTTGTATATATTTTGTATAGTGTGTAAATGAAAAGCTATAGCTATGGACTATAGTAATAATTAGTGGAAACTGCAGAAAAGCATTTTAAAGTTGATGATTTTAAGATTATCCATTTCTGAATAGTATGGAGGGACTAGTTACCATGGTCTCAAGGGCTTTTGCCTATCAAGCTCATATTGGCTGACAAAATAATGAAGGGCTAATTTTAAAATCTAATCTGTCTTTAAGTCACCTATCTGGAAGATTTAATGGCCTTTTGATTCTGGCATACTGAGATTGCAATACATATATATATGCTTATACATATGTATGTACACATATCTCTGCCTCATCCTCATATCTCTGCTCATCCTCAGTGGTCACATTCCCAGCCTCATCCAGTAAAGAATGGAGATTCTCCTTAGTCCTCCTCTTATATGATGATATATTTGTAAAAGAATTTCTTGTTCCTTTTTACCCTAGTGGCCAGGTTGAGCCTGAGCTTTATGAGAAGCAGCTGAAGGAGCTGAGATTGTTCGGTCTGGAGAAGAGGAGGCTCAGGGCAGACCTCATTGCTCTCTATAACTTCCTGAAGGGAGGTTGTAGTGAGCTGGGTGTCGGCCTCTTCTCCCGCGTAACTAATGATGGGACTAGAGGGAAGGGCTTCAAGCTGCGCCAGGGGAAATTCAGGCTGGACGTTAGGAAATACTACTTCTCTGAAAGAGTGTTGAAGCACTGGAATGGGTTGCCCAGGGAGGTGGTGGAGTCACCAACCCTGGAGGTGTTCAAGGAACGTTTGACGTTGTGTTGAGGGACACGGTTTAGTGAGTACTATTGGTGATGGGTGGATGGTTGGACTGATGATCTTGTGGGTCTTTTCCAACTTTGGTGATTCTGTGATTCTGTGATACTGTGATTCTGTGATATCTGTGCACATGTATATGTCTGTGTGTATAGTTTTTGTTTCTAACTCCTCTTCCACCCTTCAGTTCCTGGCACCCTTCTTCTGTGATACCAATTTGAATTGTTACCAGTTTTTTTATTATCACTTTTGAATCCTTGATTACCATAACTTGGTCCTTTTCACATCCTATCAGATCATCGACACCACACTGCAACCAAAATAGTTTTCTTCATTCATTCTTTATTTCCATGCCCACCATTAAGATTTCATTCCAAATTGATAATTTTTGCTTGAACTACTAGATTGCATGTTTGATATGTCAATATGTAATTTTTGCAAAGAGGAGAGGGAAGAATTAAGTTTTTTGGCTGTAGAGAGGACTTTGTGTGCTCAGTGCTGAGAGACATTTTTCCAGCAGCTCATTGCCAGCACTGAAGTCACCTCAGAAGTAGGTACAGAAGCTGTTTGCTTTAGCAGAAAACATAGGAGCTGTTGTCTATTGCTGGAAGAGAAGTGAGGTTAAATTTCATCAATTTTGTGAGAAATATAGCAAGGACACACAGATCAGAAAATTGCTCACTCTGTTAGAAGGTCAGACATTAGAGAGTTTCCCCAGTTCAGAAAGGCACATATAGCTGGTTGCTGTTTATTAATTGCATTAATGGATTTCCTAAAACAGGGCATGCCCTGCAGTGATATCCAGAGAGGCAAGAAGCCCACTGGGGTGCTGGGGCAGTATGACCCCACGGTGTCACGCCATACCAAGCCCACCAAATCCCTCCTTTGGCATCAACAGTCCTCATGGCATGCCCAGCACTCCCTGGTGACTGCATGAGGAGGCAGATGAGTCCCCTCTTAGTTGTAAACATGGGGCTTTGTCAATGGAGATCCAAGGATGTCCTCCTATTTACCTCATTGTGCTTCACATCTTGCCTGCTAATGGCACTACCCTCTACACACCAGCAATGCATGCAGTTAAGCACAGCATTACATTTGCAGAGCAGGAATACCTTAAGGTGAAAATTCCCCATAGAATTCCTTGCATTTCTGGGTACTATTGATGGAAATGTCATTCCCTATGAGGAGGCTGTATACCAACATGCTATACAGATGACATGCAAGAAAAAGAAAAAACGACTGGGAAATCCATCTGAAGTAAAAAGATAACACACCAAAGACTTCCTTTCATGTGACCAAGGACCTAAAGCACAGAGAAGTCATCTGCATTCAGTTCCAATGTTACTTTGATTTAATAGTGAGAAAAGCTAGAAAACAGATAAACCATTGCCTCCTGCAAGCAAAATAGGCAGCTCCAGCAGCATATGTAGTTTCTGTCACCTCCAGCTTGTGTAGCCAGCACAAACACGGGGACCAGATGGTAGTAGTCTGGGGGCTGCAAAAATACGTGCATGAAAAGCACGTAGTGCTATGATAGTGAGGAAAAGATGCCCAGTATTTAATTACATGAAAACCCAATTGGAAAACCCAACTGAAGGTTTGCTTTACTACATTACTGGAAACGCCTGATTCTATCTGGGCATTTTGGATCATGCTCCTCTGTCAAATGGATGTTACTTTCAGCTGTGAACATAGTTACTGTGTTTATTATGAAAATCTAAACCTCTGCTTCAAATTCTTCTTTTACCACGGGGAAAAAGGAACTGTATACCTCTTTCACCACCACTATCCTTACTTTTAGTTTTTTATTATGCCAATAATTAGATCAGTTAATAATCTTTTGGGCTCAACAGCTCTTGAGTATTTTTCTCTTCAATATAACAAAGGATGTGCTTCTCCTGCAGATGGTGCTGTGCATAGAGTAAATCATTTACCACTGCCAGCAATTACTCACCAAGATATCAGAGAGAGCAAGGCAGTGCTGAGTGAAGGTCAGCCATCAGCTCCAGCCCAAATGGGCACAGCAGGATTCTCACGGATACAGCTTTGCAGAGAGTAAGGGTAGGAACCTGCAGGCTGATTCCCAAGGGGGTGTTTGGGGGACATAGTGAGCAACAGAGAGCGAAGATCACAGCTCAGCCCCCACACTGGAGGCCATGGGGCAG